ACCCCCCCCCCCCTCCGCCTGTGCAACCAAAAGCAGTTCGTTCGGGCTCTGGCCTTGCACTGGCCTCGTATGAAGAAGTCTACTCCACTCCCGGGGGATGCATTAACGAACTAATCGACATGAACATCAGGTGAACAATCCTAGCATAAACTATGTACTCTGTCTGATGCGATCAAAACCAGATCGACGAACCCAAATAACCGTACATAATTGCAATGGCCCGTTGACGAATTTATCGAAAAACAGCTTGTTTCGCCTACCGGACTTTGTTTTCAATGTGGCAATGGGCATTTTACATTCATTGGAGTTTATGGAACGGCACATTGTGAAAAATTTCCTCCGAAATCGGCCCTTTTTGCAATACAATCAATGTCGAGTGGCTAAATGGTATAGATAAAAGAAGCCTTCACGCTTTAGCAACTAGGCCAGTATAGACAAAACGGCTTCGGACGTTGATAGACGTAGCAACAAGCCCGTGATGAGACTGCTTAAATAATTACGCACACGGCGTTTATCATGAACTAAGACGATTTTTCTTACAATACCAACACAAAGGCTTGGCACAACTGACGACTCAGAGAAAACTGTAAACTCTCGATCATTGTAATACTGAATTCATTCAAAAACCCGTGTTTGCGAGAAACAACTCTGTTGAAAACAAGTGAAACATGCTATTTGACTAAACCATTATTCCGAAGCTCACTGAGCCCNNNTACCCGGTGAAAATCCCGTGTACCAATGTGGTTACTAATGCATATTTGGATTAGCTTATTATTTCGCTGAACGGGACGCAGAGGAAGACTGTGATCAGGGTTGAACCCTTCATTATCCTAGGAGTGTAAATTTTCCCAATGTTAAGAGGTTAAAAATCGTCGACCTATAGGAATAGCCCCAAAGGTGGCGATAAGTTCTAGGTCAGAATTGTTGGTTGAAGATAGGACAGTCTCTAAAATTAAAACGATTCAGGTGAAGCAGATACATGATTTAAAGTACAGTTATGGAACAATTTTTTGCAGCAGTTCGGCTAGTTCTGCTATACAGCGCAGAAGCGTGGCCATTAAGAAAACAGGATAAAGATAGACTATCGGTATTTGGACATCGCTGTCTAGGCACAATTGCATGAATCTGGGGAGCAATCAGAAGAGTAATGCTGAGACCAGGTGCAGTTTTACATAACCGCGGTCGCCCACTGAAACAAGTGGTCCACCTCCATAGATAACATTGTTTGGGGCATTTGCTACTCATGTCATCAAGTAGGTTGCTACGGTGCGCGATGTTTGCCGAAGCAGTGAGAAGAAAAAAGCCAAGAGTGGTCAAATAAGACTTGGTACGCGGATATGACAACCCTGACTAGAAGACTGGGTCATATAGGTAGTGTTAGGCCTTCTGAATGGAAGCTTCGAGGTCGTTGTAAACAATGATGAGACACTGAGTATCGCAAACAGTGGCGCTCGCGCGTCGTCTAAATTTATTTGCATATTTAGTCTACTGAAATTCTCCATTTTCTGCTCGACTCCACTTGCGACTTTCCTCTCTTTCTCCTACTCATTTATCTAAACGGGCAGCCAAAGGACAGCAAACAAAATCCGCGCACGAAGGTGTATGGTTAATGGTTGTACAAACTGAACCTTTTTGAAACATGAATTGAAACCTTTTCCATGTGACCGAAACAAAACGTACATGTAGAAATTCATTGGGGAGAAAAACAGGGTAGATCCAAGTTAGTCCATGAAGACCAGGGAGATAATTGCGAAATCGGGGGCGAATTAGCACCTATGTTGGAACTAGGTGTGGAGAAACTTACACGGATAATTGGATATCCGGCTGTATTGTCTCCGTCTGAGCGACGTAAAGCTGTGGCTGCTGCTGCAGCACGACCGAAACTTTTGTTTGTGATCCGTTTTGAGCGAATTGCATCCAGTTCTGTTGTGATCACATTCACCTCGACTTCTTCCAAGCCGAATTGCTTCCCTAGAAAGACCAACTGGCCAGATACAGCCGCCATCGCTCCACCATCATAGCACACACGTTCGGCGTCACAACCGCGCAAATTCGTGTAGGCGTACAGACCGCCCCCATTAGATCGACTAGCCATTTCCACCAAGTTGATCCGTCGACTCAGTTTGCGCAGCTCGTGATGACTGGCACTGGCATTGAGCACCACGTCTGCACCACAAGCGTACATCTGCAAATGGGGTGGACAACCAATCCAGAGCTCTTCACACGTCTCCAGTCCAATTGTTACGTCCCCCAATGCCTCGTCCCCAGTAAAGTAGAGAAGAGCATCTCCGAACGGTGCGGATGCTTGAGCCGCATTTAGAGAGGAATGACGTACGACTGCTGGCAAAGGATAGTCCACTATGCGCATTTGATGAGGCCAGGCGGTAAACCAACGAGTTTCACGATGAAGACCACCATCAGCCAGGACTAGTTTAGGTCGAATGAGAAGGATGCGACCATTCAACAAAATGACACGACAGTTATAAGCGACACCGGAAAATAACACAGGCATCCCTATGTCACACACGATATCACGCATATCTTCAGTGAAAATAGTTTGCTTCAGAATTTTGGCAAGGCATTGCCAGGAGTGATCAAAGGTGTCCAGTTCATGAAAATGGTCAGCGCAACCGTAGCCCGACAGTTCTAACTCCGGTCCAAGACGATAACGGGCTCCGGCTCTCTTAGCCATTTCAATACTCCGTATGATTCTTTTGGTATTTCCCGTGAAATCCAAAGCCCATTGATTTAGAACACATAGGCCAATGGTGAACTTGCTACCTGTGTTCAACAGTGGTAGGACTGAATTCATTTTATTCTGAAAGAAATGGCAAAACAAACAGTAAAGTTGGTTGCAAAAGCGAAACAATCCCAAGTACTTTTACAAAACGTCTTTCTGGGTATGGATTCTAAACTGGATGGCCCGTTTGGCTGAAATCATATGGTCTTGATTGCGTACTACTTGTTCCACTGATTTGATAGACTCATCTTATTCACACATAAAATTATAATTAAAAAACAATATGCTCCCAGATTCTGGAGACAATGAAATTTTTCGATCCAGTTTCAACAATCAGAACGCCACAACGGTAATTCTTTGTACAATAATTGCCGAAGCAACGACCAATCAGATGTGAAAATGCTCGATAACTGAGGGAGTATCAAATAATTATTCACAAATGGATAAAGTCAGCTGCAAAAAAATAGATAGCAAGAGCACTAATAATGAATAGCCTTTTAACTCGGTGGGGATTAATCCGTCCCACTAGCTTCCAGAACATCAATACATTTCTGTTCTGTATACTGCAGATTAGTTTTAAACAAACCGTGATGCTAGTATTCTCCCACTTTGCGTTCAAGACAGTCTTTATTTAAGCGAAGAAGCTCTACGTATTGATATTTCGATGTCTATCTGATCGAAAAACCCCAGAGGTCCTCTGATTAGGTTAAGAGTAAAAACGGACTAATCCGATTCCACGAAAAAGTCACGAAGCCTTTAGATTTATCATGCGTATATTACGGTGTTCGTATATTGAGAACTGATATTATTTCAGCCTCTACTTCAAGTGATAACGTCTTCAAAATTAAACCATTTGGGTGCATAACCGACAGATATTTAGATGTATTTACACATTGCTTTTAGATTAATATCTTGGCGATTCGAGGGCATTTATCCATGCACCGTGGTCACCACTCTGTCGAAGACAATTCACCAGATAAATCCCCTGAGAGTATGATTACGTATTGTTGCCTCATTTCTCATTTCTTTATCGCCATAAACCTCTTTGATTGCATTGTGAGCTGGGGAATAAACGGTAGGGTGCATATTACTTGTACCACTTCATAAACGCAATCTGGTGAGGTATTTGCTTAAGTCTGGCTCGTTTAAACAGGCAATATATATCAATCAAGATCACAAATGTACAACACGGACAGGCAGACACTGAAGGGAAGAGGACGACAGAAGATTATTTAATGAGCCTGGACATTCTGATGCAGTGTTGCAACCGATTCAGTGCGCGCAGAAATGTGCTCAAACTGCCAAGATGTCAACAATCTAAAAGACAAGTGTAAATATAATCAAATACATATAGGTCATGCGCCCCGAAAATGCATACTTATGGAGATATTTTCACTTAAAATAGCGGTTGAATTAGTATCATTTGACAACATGCCAACGCCGTAATAAACACGTTTTACATCATCCGTTGGACTCATGATCTGAAACCCATGGTAGCAGAGAAGTGAAATAAAATATGTCAGCAGCACACAAACTGATCGCTGGTCTGGACATGCACACACGCATGCAGAGATGTACGCGTATGTGCAAGGTAAGATTTTTGTGGATTTGAGGCATGCACGCAGATCACAACACCCCCACCCCATCAGCGCTTCAACCATAGATTGAGAAATCTCTGTGCTGAATGGTGATCATTCACACATCCCCATAAAGTTCGATCAGTGAATGGGTCAGGGAACTCTAATATTTCATCTTTTATGTTTACTTCCTTCTATTGGATATATAACGATAAGATTCTCAGGAAGGGGGGACTGTGGTGAGGTCAAAAGGCCAGCGTGACATGTAATTGGGAAGACTTCAAATGAGACCGGGACACATTGGTTTGATACTCGAACAACTTGATTAGCAAAAGCTATAGAACGAGTACGGTAAAAGTCTAGAGCACTTCATTATCATCAATGTCCAGCGATAACAGAGTTTGACAAACAGGTTGCACCTGTAGCATAACCCTTTAGCAATTAATAGAAGTGTAGATTTATGTGTACAAATGCGTTTATTGACCTTCAAACGTTACAATTGTTGACCAAAGTCCACAAATGATGCTTTTCGCTCGGCACTTTTCGTCTTCTTTGGACAGTCTCAATGGTAAAGGTACATCCGTAGCTTCAATGGAAGTATGAACGCCCAACTGGCCAAAACCATTCCATCCAAAAACATAAACATGCCCCTGTTCAGTGAGACAAACGGTATGCCTTGAGCCGCACGAGACCTGAAAACGTAAGGCAAACATCCGAACGAATGAGTCAAATAATAGTGACAGTAGTAACCAAAATAATCATAAAAACACAAAACCATTATGTGAACACACCAAAATGACCTTGTCAGATTTATGATCCCTACGACCATAAAAGTACTTTGACCTAGAACGCCGTTGGTTCCGGCCCTTCCGGCTGTCACCGGGAACTACCTTTGTTCTACTTTAGGATACACGAGTGCAAACCACTTCCGGTTGCGCACCTGGTTTTCAGTCATTTTACGATAAATCATGCAGAATCACAAGAAAACTCACGCTTGATCTCGCTTTCGAACTGAGAAAACTCAGAATGCATTTATAACCACTCGTGACCAAAACCGAACTATCAGTATTTACTTGATATCCTAATCGATAGATATAAAAAACCGCTTCCGAACAATTATCCTTGGCACACACTTTCCCTTAAAGCAAAAGATGGTACATTGATGTAAAAACCGCTGGTTCATTCACGCCTCAATTTATCAGCTGCAAACATGAGTTTCAGCCGGTGACTTGAACCTAAACTTTCATCTCTGAATCATTATTTTCACATTCTCTAGAGATCTTCGAGCAATACCGATCGCTCCCACTAAAACTATGTGACGGGATGTTAAGTAAATCATGGTAAATGGTCCGAATGTCAGGATTAATTGTGTTGGATACTCAAATGTGAACAACACCAAGTGGTTCGAACACTTATCCAGTACGACCACCACTCCGAATGTGAAACCAGTGTCTGCAATCACTAACAAGTTTATTTCTTTACAAGTGCGGTTCATGAGGATCCCGATGATCTTGTATGCACTCCTAATCTGCTTTCATTCAATGCTTCTCACCACACACCCATGCGCGTTTCCCTAACCCCTCCTCTCGGTACGCCAGACCGCTGTCTTTTTGCCTGCCTTCTCAAACACTCCATCTGATGGTCATCCAAAGGGCATAAAACCGCAAAGCTGCAATCCTGTGTCTCTAGAAGCCTATCACGTAAGGACCTAGCAAAACCCGTCTGCCATAACTTTTGTCCGATTCTGTTTTCTACCATTCCTGACCCATAAAACGGTTCCGTTTCTAGCCCATTGGAGGAGGTTGATTCCTCCTTTGCTTTAACTTCACGGTTATAATCCCTTTTCGTTCAACTATTCTTCTATTCCGAAATTCCCAGCAGGAAATTTCCGCCGATCCCGTCTTGCGATTGACATATCTAATCCACCTGAGCCCGATGACATTTTATCCATTTCAGTGACGAACTGCACGCCATAATTTTTATCCTTCACTAATTTTTCAATGGGTCATATCAATCTGATGTTTCCTGTCTGCTGGAAACTTGTTCCTATTTTCACCTTCCTGACCTTAGTTTTCTCTTAAGTCATACAAACTACTGCTGCTAAACTAATAGCGAAAGGTGCAGGACCTATCTTGTGGGAGGAGCACCAGTGAGTTGGGGGCATTCTCCACCTTTTTATTCTCTATCAATTACCAAGCTCACCTCTGTGGCCCCTAGAGGCCGAGGCCAACATCAGTGGCCACATCCCGGTGCACCATTCAACAGGCGCGCTAAACCAGGTTGAGGCATACTGAGGCCTAAAACCTCGATCAGCTGACGCTCGCCGCGCGAAGACTAGTCCTGAGTTAAACGGACAATATCTATTACCAGAACCAAAGGCAACATTTTAATGAAACCAGTACAGCTGGTAATCTTACACTTGTGTAGTGGTTTTGAATGCCATATTTTGACTACATATTTAGATGAAAGAGTAGTGGGAAGAATTAGGAATGTGGAAGCAAAACAAGGGTAAAGATACCGAAAGCAGTTTAACTAAATTTGCGGCGACGTTGAATGGACGCATGAGCACTACTGTTCACAACATTCAACCACAGCTTTCTATATCTCTAATTAACAATTGATCCCGAGGTCCTAATTAGGGTCTATTTGTTCGATTTACTTGGATTTTCGTAACCTAACGCCGAATTTTAGCTTCTCAACCTTTAGCCCTCTTCTATCCTTCATCCGACTACGAAAACATTACACGTTGAGGAAGCCTATCAGGCGGCATCTGCAATAGGCCCTAACCAATGGAGGTTGACCGCCTACTTTAGACTATGATCCCAAACATGGCCATACTTGTCTGGTCGCTCCATCTGGCTCGTGTAATGTGTCGTATACAGCGGTATTCGAACACCAATAGTCTATCTTTATATTGCTCCCGTAAGGGCCATCTTTACAACATACAGGAGAACCGACAAGACAGCTGCATCATACACTTCACCCTTCATGGAAAACCCAATATCGTTGCGCCGCCAAAGGTGCCTCACTTTGGCAAGCGCCAATCGAAACTTTTGTATGCGTGCCAACACTTCCTCGCTGAAGCACCCGCCAGGTGAGATACAGCTACCCAAAAATCTTAAGTTACCTACCTTCTGTATTGCTTCCCTAGTTTGAACGAAGCTTGGAGCTGGACCAACTCAGTCCTGCGACAACATTTAACACTTTCCCTCAAACCACCTAAAAAGGCTTGCATTTTGCTTGAAGCTTAACAGTACAATTTCGACTACGCACATTAGACAAAAGAGCCTGTCATCTGGGAGTATATCGACGTCGCTGTACTCGCATGAGGACAGAGCTGGTTCCAAAACCATATTCATTAAAAAATTGAACAGATAAGGTGAGGGAGCTCAACCAAGACGAACAGAGCTTTCTGTAATGAAATCAGGAGAGAAAGAGTCCTCAGCTCGAATTCGGCTTCGACTATCAGTAACCTCGAAATCTGCTCCGATTATCTGTATA